CATTATTGTCTATATACATATCTGATATTTGACACCACATTACTAGCCGATCAGTAACGAATATGTTCATTTCATGTATTTGTTCACATGTATAACAGCATGCTGCACCATACATTACTCATAAACGTTATTCGATTACTGTCATTATTACTTTATTCCCGCCACACTCTATAGCAGAAAATAGAGTTTAGTGCTAGTCTCTCAAGTATACAGACATGTTGCTCACACCTAAGCCATTTTCTCTCCTCTATCATAAACAGTGATATGTATTGGTATTTACTCATGCCTTACTACGATTTGACAACAAATGAGGTCACGTGCATATCGCTCAAATGAGATAGACCATTCTGGGCTTCAAAACCAAAAAGGAATATGACTCCTAAAATCTCATCGCCGTAGTCACTATTCTGCTCTTCTGGTCGTTCTACTAATACACTCAACAATAACATGATGCCATCTATTTACGACACAAACAACAAAGTACACTAAAATCTAATTTAACTAATATCATCAATTGCAGTACAGCAATGAATATCATCCATCAATGCAGTTATCATTTTAGGGTTTCATTATTTTAATCCTATGGGACTGGAGACAACTGTCAAATAATTTCAAAGTGAGAATTTTGAATACGAACGTCAAGACAGCTCAACAATACGGAACTAAAACGTAGAGATCATCAAAAGTTTGCAAGTATTTATAAACAGTTGTTTTTGCAAGATGCTCAACATCCTATCGTCGTATCCCATCAGCAAGAGCGTACTGTAGAAGACGACAAATCAAATTAGAGCTGAAGGAGAAATTGGGAGAAGACGTTGAAAAGGGAAAGGACAAATATTACGGGAATCACCAAACTGCATGACGAGACAAGCCTCAACTTGGAATCCTGAAGGAAAGTGAAAATAGTTAGGGTCAAAGAAGACACTGCGTTGAGAACAGAGAAGCAGATATGAAATGGATGAATAGTAACTGAGAAGAACTGAAAAGGATTTCCCAGGACAGGGTTGGATGGACAGCGCAGGTGAACGTGATTTTAGGCATAAGTAAGTAAGTAAGTAAGTAAGTAAGTAAGTAAGTAAGTAAGTAAGTAAGTAAGTAAGTAAGTAAGTAAGTAAGTAAGTAAGTAAGTAAGTAAGTAAGTAAGTAAGTAAGTAAGTAAGTAAGTAAGTAAGTAAGTAAGTAAGTAAGTAAGTAAGTAAGTAAGTAAGTAAGTAAGTAAGTAAGTAAGTAAGTAAGTAAGTAAGTAAGTAAGTAAGTAAGTAAGTAAGTAAGTAAGTAAGTAAGTAAGTAAGTAAGTAAGTAAGTAAGTAAGTAAGTAAGTAAGTAAGTAAGTAAGTAAGTAAGTAAGTAAGTAAGTAAGTAAGTAAGTAAGTAAGTAAGTAAGTAAGTAAGTAAGTAAGTAAGTAAGTAAGTAAGTAAGTAAGTAAGTAAGTAAGTAAGTAAGTAAGTAAGTAAGTAAGTAAGTAAGTAAGTAAGTAAGTAAGTAAGTAAGTAAGTAAGTAAGTAAGTAAGTAAGTAAGTAAGTAAGTAAGTAAGTAAGTAAGTAAGTAAGTAAGTAAGTAAGTAAGTAAGTAAGTAAGTAAGTAAGTAAGTAAGTAAGTAAGTAAGTAAGTAAGTAAGTAAGTAAGTAAGTAAGTAAGTAAGTAAGTAAGTAAGTAAGTAAGTAAGTAAGTAAGTAAGTAAGTAAGTAAGTAAGTAAGTAAGTAAGTAAGTAAGTAAGTAAGTAAGTAAGTAAGTAAGTAAGTAAGTAAGTAAGTAAGTAAGTAAGTAAGTAAGTAAGTAAGTAAGTAAGTAAGTAAGTAAGTAAGTAAGTAAGTAAGTAAGTAAGTAAGTAAGTAAGTAAGTAAGTAAGTAAGTAAGTAAGTAAGTAAGTAAGTAAGTAAGTAAGTAAGTAAGTAAGTAAGTAAGTAAGTAAGTAAGTAAGTAAGTAAGTAAGTAAGTAAGTAAGTAAGTAAGTAAGTAAGTAAGTAAGTAAGTAAGTAAGTAAGTAAGTAAGTAAGTAAGTAAGTAAGTAAGTAAGTAAGTAAGTAAGTAAGTAAGTAAGTAAGTAAGTAAGTAAGTAAGTAAGTAAGTAAGTAAGTAAGTAAGTAAGTAAGTAAGTAAGTAAGTAAGTAAGTAAGTAAGTAAGTAAGTAAGTAAGTAAGTAAGTAAGTAAGTAAGTAAGTAAGTAAGTAAGTAAGTAAGTAAGTAAGTAAGTAAGTAAGTAAGTAAGTAAGTAAGTAAGTAAGTAAGTAAGTAAGTAAGTAAGTAAGTAAGTAAGTAAGTAAGTAAGTAAGTAAGTAAGTAAGTAAGTAAGTAAGTAAGTAAGTAAGTAAGTAAGTAAGTAAGTAAGTAAGTAAGTAAGTAAGTAAGTAAGTAAGTAAGTAAGTAAGTAAGTAAGTAAGTAAGTAAGTAAGTAAGTAAGTAAGTAAGTAAGTAAGTAAGTAAGTAAGTAAGTAAGTAAGTAAGTAAGTAAGTAAGTAAGTAAGTAAGTAAGTAAGTAAGTAAGTAAGTAAGTAAGTAAGTAAGTAAGTAAGTAAGTAAGTAAGTAAGTAAGTAAGTAAGTAAGTAAGTAAGTAAGTAAGTAAGTAAGTAAGTAAGTAAGTAAGTAAGTAAGTAAGTAAGTAAGTAAGTAAGTAAGTAAGTAAGTAAGTAAGTAAGTAAGTAAGTAAGTAAGTAAGTAAGTAAGTAAGTAAGTAAGTAAGTAAGTAAGTAAGTAAGTAAGTAAGTAAGTAAGTAAGTAAGTAAGTAAGTAAGTAAGTAAGTAAGTAAGTAAGTAAGTAAGTAAGTAAGTAAGTAAGTAAGTAAGTAAGTAAGTAAGTAAGTAAGTAAGTAAGTAAGTAAGTAAGTAAGTAAGTAAGTAAGTAAGTAAGTAAGTAAGTAAGTAAGTAAGTAAGTAAGTAAGTAAGTAAGTAAGTAAGTAAGTAAGTAAGTAAGTAAGTAAGTAAGTACATTCCGTACGTTTAATATTTTGCTCATAATGGCAGGCTATCATTGTCGATGTTGATAGAATTTTACGATATTCATGTATTTCTTTATTTACATGAATATGACACTTTCATAAAATAGACACACTCCAAATGACAGTTTACTCCATCAGATAAAGTACAAATATTTTCGCTACATATTGATCACATACTACTTCTGTGTTATTTTCGAAAGCAGACATACGTTCAAACAAAAGTACTATTTTGTACAACGGTGCTATGTGGTGGTAGTTGCTGTGTTAAGCACATATACCTTATTCACCATTAAAGTGGCAAGCACATCAACAAAGTCCAGCGATATAACTGTAATAAAAAAACAAGACGCCAAAGCACAACCACGAAAATGGCTGCACACAGTTGGAAATGAAATTTTTCAAAAGGAAGATGTGATTAGTTCGATCGATTTTATTATTTTTTCGCAAAATGGGGAAAACGCATATTAACGGTGTACATTTAGAAATAGGATTCAACAAAATGACAATTCTATCCGATTCACCAGACTGAATCTAACATTAAATCAAGTTCTATCAATTTTGTCACTTCCTATAGTATTTACAAAGTAAAGATTATTATTCTCTAATCTCAGTGCAAATTATCTGACGATTTTCTTAACAGAAACATATTTCTGTTGGCCTCAGTTGTTCACAGAAATATCAGTAACTATAATTTGTTGTTGTCTATCACCACTATCCATCTTATTGATCAAATAATATGGTATTCCATATTCTTTATTATGTATAATGGACGTAAAGTAAATGTTAATTAGAATAAGAAAACATCGCTTTCTAATATACGTTGTGTCTATTTGACTGACATTCCTCTACACACACAGAGTAAGTATAAGTGACACTGTCATTCTACAAAAGATCACTACTTCTCTAAAAGTACAATGAAAATCGATATTTTTATGTCAATTCAACGATGAATAAGCACTATAAGAAACTACCATCTAATTTCAATTGAGTTTTGTGGGTCTTTTTCATCGAACCATCTAGTCTACACGTCCTTAGTTTCTCAATCTATGCGACACCCATTCAAAATCCCGATTCTTTGAGACTCGACTAGTTATTTCGTTTCATGTATATTGATCAATGAGACTGTGATGGGTCATGCTATTTGTAGTCTCTATACCGTTTAATAATAATTAGACTAAGAGGGCATTTTAGGAAATTGGTAAACATATAAGATGCAGAGTCTGCGAACTTGTATCGAATTTCTGTTTTCTTACTACCGTAGACTGTGATTCACATGAAACTATGTGTTGACTAAACGATTCACATATATTTTGATTTGTGTCCTTTCACATATCATTCAGTTATTGTTGGCTGGACTTCGTCATGTACCATTAAACATTGTATGGCGAGCGGTAACCTCATTTATTAAACGCATTGACAGATTTGTCTATAAGTTCCTGTGAAGACATTCTACTGTTGACAAAATGAATGTTTGTTTTGAATTTTGATTTAGCTTGGATATGTTTGTTAAGCGGAACTGATCGACTTTCATGTGAGGTCGAATATTTTTCGACTTATCATATGGTGTTGAAAGTTCTGTTCATTTTTCAACGGGAACGAAATAGGATTTTTGTAAAGAAACATTCGTAGTTGAATATTTAAGTAGCATGTCTGGTGTGCTCTGTCTCGACAATTTCAGATTCATCGTTTTAGATGATTTTATTAAGGAGATGATTTGATTGAGTTAGACAATGTTCGGTGTTTGTAGACTATTGGCAAGAACCGTGAATTCAGGTTTCATGGTGTTTGGTACAAGTCATTTAAGTGTGTCCTCAATCTTGCAGAAACTAACGCTTCTCGTGTGATGCAAACTCATATTGTTGTGAACGAGAAAAAAAATTTGCACAGTCGAACACAAAATTACAGAACATCTTAGTAATATCCGTGAATCTTCCATGTTCTTGACCTTCTACTGACATGTATTTTACATTCGTCTGATGATGCACACTACTTATATCCCTTGACATCAGTAGCACAGAAGCATCAGATCTACAATCGCAGCTGTTACCACGGACTCTCGATGGGATCTAATGGTGATCGATTTCATGTTGCTTTTTGCAATAACTTTCCATCATGTTCTGAATGCAAACTCAAGCAAGTAAGATTCACCATTTATCAAGTCGAAAATAGACCACAATCCACGTTTTGCGCAAAAGTGAGCTCTAAGACATTTTAGATTTTACTCAGCTGCCTAACTATTGTGTTGATGAACATGGATGTTGGTAGTTGGTTGTAAAATGTAGGGTTGAATCAATTAAGCGTCAAACTATTTTTGAATAGTATGTAAGTTGCTAATATACAGTCATAACAGTTCTATCCACTATAAATATCATCATTATTGACCGGACTAACATAGTATCATGTGACGTAACTGAGAAAGAAATACTGTATGAGCAACAATTAAGGTTGATAGCCTTTTCTGCCAGCCTTTAAAACATACACAAATACTGTGTACAACATTGCTGTAAGTGCCATATTGGCTTGAGTGTGTACATATTGTTTGCTTTGTCTGTTGTTTATTTAACTGATGATCAGCCACACATACAGAAGAAAAATGAGTAAAATTCTCATTTCACAAAAGATCACCACTTTTCTGAAAGGAAAATTAAGTGAAAACTAATCTTTTGTCCGTCAATTCACAGAAGGTATTGCTTCAGCTATGAATAAACACTGTAACCATTGAACATCGAATTTCAATTGAGTTTTGTGGTCTTTTTCTCATACAATCGTCTGGTTTCCACGTTCGTACTACTACGTCAAGTTTGTTCTTGGTGATCTATTCAAACTCAACTATTCAATCAATTTGTTTATTTGCACATCCCAGTGCTATTTCCTGCGTCCAAGAATGTTCTTGACTTGTTTAGTTGATAAACTAAACTCGTCTTCAAATATAGACCATGCTTCTTCAACTGATATGCTAGTATCTGTTGAAAAACCTGTCTTAGCAGCGCTCTCCTGAGTGGCTGATATGTTAGCTCTCCGTACATTTGGGCGAGTCTTAGCCTGATCGTATATCGTGTAACTACCTCTAAACGTGAATGACAAAATAGCGTGATCGCAATTAACTAACCGTGGAAGAATATTCATTCTCATGAGTGACTACCAAGTTCAACAGAGAAGGACCTTGGTCTGCAACAAAACAAGTGAGTTTGGACACATGATATACTAATGCATGCTCTATTACTTTTATCAGAAACCTACTATCAAAGGAGTTTATAGATCCTTCCGTGATCATCTCGATCCAGCTAATATCAAGTTCATTAACGTTTCCTAAAATCAAGCATCCGTTATTTGCATTCCATAGCTCAATGTGCTACAAAATACAGTCATCAGTTGAGCAGATTGGTCTGCGATAGATGACACCGAGTATAAATGTACCACATCTGATAGTCAGCTCATAGATTATCACTTCACGAGTTCCACCATCATGGGATTCGCAAACAGAGCAGCGGATATTTATTTTATTGGTCATGCATAAAATAACGCCACCTCCTTCCTTACATCTGTGTCTGCCACTCCCTAGGTGGTGGTAACCGGATAATTCTTGAGTAATGTCGAAGTCCTGGGCTAACCAAGTTTCTGCCACAGCTACTTCGAGTAGTCCTAATCTGTTCACTAGTGCTTCTAGTTCATAGACTTTATCTCTTAAACTACGAGCGTCCGTACATAAAACTCCTATGGAGAACGGCCTATCCACAGAGGCCATGGTAGCATTCGCTTCCAAGACTATCTGTTGGGTCACGAGAAACATGACGAGTGGTAACTTTAAGATCATTTTTATGGACGAATACTAAACGCATATTTTTATCGTTTAATTGTTAATTAACTAAACTATTCATATTCATGTTCCTCTTATTGTAAGCTTTATTTTGACTTATGAACCATTATATATATATATATATATGGGCCTCGATGTTGCTGATGAGTCCGAATTAGGACGAAACGTGAGTCTTAAATTCTACTCTTAGCCATTATCCATCTTTACTTCATAGAATGTTTTCTTCATTCATTCATTCATTCAAATGGCATACTTATACATAAAAGTAATAGTATTCCTTGTAATCACCATCTACTATCATCTTCATAGATTGTTATTTGATTATTTTTTCAATTTTAGAAAAGATTAACAACTATTGAATCTCAATTAACCTTATTGAATTCTTTACCAAATAATGAAGATATTATTGGTTACATTGATAATGATCTACATAATAAAAAGAATAATAATTCATTAGATAATTCAAATGATAATTATAGAAAAGTTATTAAGTTATGGCAAACTGTACAAACTAATAAACGTTAAGATGCTACAGAAGAAGGTCTTCATCGAGTAAGTTCATAATAATAATAATAATAATAATAATAATAATAATAATAATAATAATAATAATAATAATAATAATGATTTATATATGTTGTACTTTATCATTTCTATTATGAATAAGGATCATACAAGATCATGGATCAATTGAAGTTAGATATTTACAGTGTTGAATGCTGGCTAGTTCAATGGTTTGAATGCTAAGAGTTCGATCACGAGACCACTGGTCTTGGGGTTTGAGTCATGCATGCAGGATCGGGGATATGAACTGACGAGAAGTCCTATAGTAGGACGAAACAACCATTTAGTTCTTATAGGTTTTTCTTTGTTTCCTTATCCCGTTCGAATGCATTTCTCATCCGGATTACTCCAACTATGTTCTACTCTTAGCTCGACTTTTCTTAAACTGCATTCTGAAAAGGAATCCAGACATTGGTACCATTCAAATATACATGAATTTCATTCAGCTGTTCAAGCATAAAACCATGTCATCTGCTGACAACAAATTATCCACATATACCTCTTTCCATGATCCAGACCATATATATTACTTATTTCGTTATATTCTTAAACAGATTGAGAAATCCTTTACTGAACTGTGAGTGTCTTCCAGCAATACACTTCCTCACTCACTCACTCCCTTTCTCTCTCCTCATAGATAAATTCTCAGTATGTTCTTGACTTGATATTTTTTACTTTTTTGACTGTAACAGAATAGTTCTATCAATCACTTTTTTTTGTTTAAATGAACATCACTTTCATACATTGATATGTATAGCTATGAGTATGGACGTATTCCTTTTCGATGATGTTGTCTTCTCTAAACTAGTTAGGTTAGTTACGAAGCTTTGAATATTCTTTCTTAATGATCCATTCATTTCAAACAGTATGTATGACAACTGGTTGGATTCAACTGAGCTACCAATTTTCGCGTTATAAATGTCCAGTTGAATTTTCAATTTTGGTAACACATACACACACACACAACGTACTCAATTCACACTTGCCGTTTCTACAATTTCTTTCATTGAAACTCATCTTCACACCTTGTACATTTTTTAGTGCATAGAATCTATAAAATCAATATCGTACACATATCTCCTACGGTAAACTGCATTCAGTGGTTTGTTTTTAAACATTACCAAAGTGACATTTCACATCTCTGTTTAACTTACTCACAATTCCTTTGTTATATGCATTGCATATGTATACAGAAAATAACTTTGACACCAATGCAATTCTCTCCTCGTTGTTTTGCACGACAATACTAAATTATGCTTGTCCATTAGTTAATTATAAATAAAAATCCAGTTTCTCTATATTATTGACTTTGTGTCTCCACAATATATATGGGTTCTGTTGGATAGCACGCGAGAACTATGTAACTTGCTAGCTGGCGCTCATCAGAAAAGCGCATCTGATAATTTTGGGAAAGTGATCTACGTGACATTCGAGCCAGCATCACTCATATTTGCAGTCAGAATTATTAACACTGACTCCCGGTAGGACTGAGTGATGATCGATTTCATGTCTATCTATTCCTTTCGTGCCGAATGAACCTTATCGATTAAGTTGAAATGTGGTCACTAGTCTAATTGACTCGACGCCATGTGCACTACGTTGAGATATTAGGGGATTGAAATTAGTTGGAAGAGAATTCTACCTGAATTTTAACCTTAGGATTGATCACTAGTCTTTTACTTCATTAGATTATTTTTCATAATCATAGACTTGAAGCTGTGGTCCACAAGGCATTGGAGCGTCGTAAGGAGATGCAGTCCCATGGTAGCCGGTGACCAAAAATTGGTTCATACTCCATTTATTCCTTCAGGATACTGGAGTCCATGTGCATCATTGGTTTGGAATCACGGTTTTTCAACTCCCCTCCGCGTCCACCGACCCGGTTAAAGCACCGCACATTCACTTTTCGTCCTCTCAATTTCGAAAACGACACCCTCACAACGAGAAGGCGGTAAGTAGGACTTCCCTAGCAGAGGCTATATAGGCGTCGTCATGTGAGGGCGTTTCGAGAGGAAGAGCGAACTCTCCTCACTCTCGACCGTACCAGGGCATTTGGGGGCTGCTCCGAACCATAGACAGATCCCTTCAAATATTTATCCATCGTATAGTCAAGTTGCATAAATTACTTTCTCGATAAAATTGAAATTAAGTCTTTTGGCAATAAATATGATTTCCGCCTTTCTCACTGTTTTTAACTAATCTTCATGACTGAACCACAACTACTGGAAATACCTGATGCCTTAACAAGCTTTCAGCCAATTTACTTGACAAAATACACTGTTTAAACAGTCAGTTATAATCAACGTTCAAACAGTTGACAAACGTGTGCATCGGCCTACAATGCTATACCACAATATTAACCCAGGAAATTAAGAGTAAACAAGTGTTCTAAAAATTATAAAGATCTATATTTACAAAAGTGCACTAAAGTAATACAAAAACTACCGTACATTCTTTTCATCTCTGACACATTTTTACTACTGCTAATGATTATGCCTGGCATTGAGAAGGGATGTAACAATGAATGTTTTGTGATAAAAACAAGCATAAGATAATGATAGAGAGGAAGCTTTTAAGAAATGCATAACAAACAGTCAAAGACAACAACTTAATGTGTTCTCTGAGCTTGAGCTTTCATTAATTTTTATTTCGGACATCTTTAGAGCCTAATTCTTCTCAGTAATTAAACTAAATAGTTCAGAGAACACATCACCATCATTTCAGGTAAGAATGTATAAACAAATCTCTTTGTATTAACACTAGAACAAGGAGAACAACCAGGATGACATAGGAACAAAAAAGGTACTGGAAGTAGTAATATTCACATATGCAATCGGAAAGTTGTAAAATCATACAGAATCGAGATTTTTAAAACGGAAGGGTAGAAAATTGTGTGAATTGACAATGGGTTCAAGAAGATTTACGAGAATAGGAAGGATATTTGGAGAGAGAAATGCGAGATAATACACACAATTCAGGGAATATAAAACAATAAATAACAGTAGCGACTGTAGTTAGCACTTAGGTTGATCGAGATCTGTGGAACCTTTGTAAAATCCGTAGATTATTTGAACAATAAGCATAAGTTAGAAATAAACCAACTACTCCAGTACCCCAGAGAATACAATCACGAATCGGATGAGATACAACTGATTTGTCGATAACTGAAGATTTTTCTGTATGGTGATAAAATGATGAGTAAAGCACGAGTAGATTAATTCAAAGCATGTTAGATACTGACATTTTAATCTAATGAGTACATATACATTGTTCAATTAGATAGTAATAATTGAGCGATAAAGGCTTTTGGTTTTCAGCCACTAAGTCTCAGGTTCGAAATCCGTTCTACCTACTCTGACGATCAGAATATTATTCAAAGCGAAGTAGACGAATCTGTACCTGGTTAAACGAGTTAAAAATTATTTATCAGTCCGTCACGATTACCGGACTGAGTTCCTTAACATGGTGAAAACTTTATGCCTTGATACATTGTTAGATATAGATAAGAAAGGAGCCAAAGGCTATTCTGCCACAGTTTTCGTTCACATTCTCCAAAACATGGAAGAATTCCTCTCAAGTGAAAGCTTTTCATGATGGCATTCTTATCCAAACTGTATCTCTTGTCACAAACTATCCTTGTTCGCCCATATAGTTTATTGATAAAAAGATTTCAGGATATGTAGATTTTATTATTAGGTATTAATTTAAAGAAAAATCTTCATAATATTTTTCTTATCCATACTTTTTCGATGACCCATGCTTTTACCACCTTTAGTTCGCTAAGTTTGTTGTGTTCCAATGTTGTTGAGTGATATCATGTATATAGGATGATGTTCCAATTCGACGATAACTTCTGTTAGTAATATAAAGATATCCTAAAATCTCATGAGAGGAAGTGTTGCACGCCAGACATGTCATACATCCTGTGTAACGAGATCTCACTATTCTCGTGTGTATTAGAAGACTCTTAATTGCCCGTAGTTGAAAAATAACCGTAGACCAAAAATGAATATTACTTCAGCTACTTCTTAACAACGAATTGTCTTAACTGAAACATTTCTATTTTATTTAATGACTTAATGGAGGATGTTTTACGTTCTATTAAAATCTATTTAGTTGTATTGGTGAAGATCATTCCTGTGAACAAATAATCTGTTATTTCAATTTATTCTAAACTGATGTATTATATAGTCATAACACATAGATTCAGTTACCTTTCAAGGCATTTCATCATATAAAATGGTATAAAAATTATGACTGATATAGGAAAATTAACAAGCAAAAACAATGGGATGAAAACTTGGCCAATGCAATGAGAAGATGAAGGTTTTATCAGAGTTATGTAATATCTTTGCGCAATACCTTTCAAACAATCTGATCTCCCATATACTCGTCAAAATCATACCCTGTTATTACTGGTTCATTATCCAGCGTGATTTTCATATTGAGGACTTCAATGATTATCATTACCTTTATTCCCAATTACCTTTGCATTTGTCCAGTTAACTTTTCATCAGATTATTTGATATGTATTGTACAAAATGTACCACATAAACACTGAGAACCTTCATCTATCTTAGTGTATGATTTAAATTGATCAAAAAGGGATATAGATCATACCTTTTCTAAAACATTTTGTATGTTTCTGAAAGTATTTCGATGAGATGTTCTTAAAAAATCTAATTAGATTAGGACATTGTAATAGATGTGTGATTAAATGATGTGAACCTGATTGTAAACAAGTTGATGATAACGAGTTGTAGTCGATATCCCACCAATTAGAATCACCATGCTGTGATTCATACATTAATAAGGGCCACATAAATGCAAACACATAAGCGTCGACTGCAGTTGGTCTTTAATTATGTTGATAAGTGCAGGTACATATACACGAAAAGGTATAAGCGTATAGGAAAGAGAGAAAACAAATATCAGCGTTAATATAATTAAGCGGGACAACAGAACAACATCTAACGTAAATACTAAAACAGTGGACTGTTTATTTATCTCTACATAAATAGACATTCAGAGAAAATATGCCCAGTTTATAATGAGTTAAACATAACTGAACAAATATATTGAATGCTAAAAACGTTTCTAGAAGTAAACCAGGCTTGGAATTGAAGAGTCCACAAATTATTACTCGAGTTCATTTGACCAAAAGATCATTATCGACAACTTCCAATAAAGTGACTGTCTTGATGATTAATTTTCAATATTTACATGCATCCCAAAATTAGTCGAATTGTCCACAGTTAAATACTGTACAACCCTAAAAAGAACCTGTTACCGAATAATATTTTTGATTTTAAAAATCATATTGAAAGTTGTTATCTTCAGATGGATAAAAGAAAATGCAACCAGTTTAAGGAGATGTTCGAGTATCAAGTTAGATTTTTCTTTGCATATCTTTAATTTGATGTTATCCGTTTAGACTTTAGCTATACCTTCAAAATCGATATCAAAGTGTTGATTTCCCTTTTATATAAGCCATTTACTATGAAACCACAGTTTTCCTTGATGAACTTGACATCGGCTTGGAAATGTGACATAGTTCGATTGTCGAAAGTCTCACCATAAATGCTGGTCATATGATTTACTGAAGTAATAACATAAATCTTTATGGTAGATCACTGTAGTAAATCCGAGATCTGGTAACAGAAAACTGAGTTATTTGACAATCAAACAAATCGCCAGTAATCTTCGTCCGAAAATGCTGTAGCACGTTTGTACCGGGAACAGCCGTTTGAAGAACACCGGAAGCTTTTCTTCGTAATGTTATTATTACGAGATGAGTAATCCGACAACGAGCAATGGTTTGACCTGTAATTGTATATAACGACGAACCGTCAATGTGGCAGCTGATTGAATGAGCACGAGATGCGGTATATGGGGCTGTTCATTATGAAATCGACAATCGATGTGACACGCAAACCATGTACGAAGATACTCAAAGTCAAGCTTAAAAGGCAATTTATAGTTGTCAATAACAATGATCGTACGAATCAAATTAAATTCTAAACATTGTGAATAATGACAAAAATAACTTAAAATTTAAGTATATATATATATATATATATATATATATATATATATATATATATATATATATATATATATATATATATATATATATATATATATAACAAAATGAGTTCCATACTAGGATAAGGCGGTCATCTAATGCTTCCAGGTTACCAATGGTGATACAGCATTGATCTCAAAATGAACAAATCTTTATACTACATCTCTTGTTCACTCAATTAGCTATCAATTTGACGGATCCCTAATATCATCGTTAAATACATAAGTCATAACTTTGCTTGTTGTTATTGGATCAATGATGTTGCATTATCTTGGAAGAAACGCAAATCATCTCCCAGGAAGGTAAGTTGGACGGTTTGATAGAGATTTTCTCGAAGGCTTCACCAGAACGTGAATCCCCAGTGTATGTTTACGTCAATTTAGTCGGTGGACCACAAACGTCAACACAATTACCTAGCCTATTCGTGTATCGTGAGGGTAGCTTTATTTAAACAGCATGAAACTACCAGACCTCTGCTGCTTTTAATATTGTAGACTTCGTTTACTTCTCGTTTTGAAAGCGGGTCCATATACAAGATACTTTTAATTTGCGACATAAAGCATCTTCCCAAGTAAATCTCCCAGGCAAGTAATATGTCTATTCTGATAGCTGGAATGGAGGGTTTTACGAAGAATTAATAAGTCACATTGTATGACTTGGAGGATTATGTGAGTACTGCATGGTCTATAAATCACAACCTAGAACCTGGTATATGTGTATTGGTTCAGGTTGCCATATCCCATTACCATAGAGAGATGAAATTGTTAAGCCAAATCTCAGAATAGTAGAGGTAGTAACATTATCAGTGGTAGATGAAAAGACTGGGTATCGAACATAGGACTCACGAAAATATAAATTATTGAAATAAAAACACAAAACGTTATAAGGAATTCAAGAGTTCAGAATTTGAGGGAAGACAAAGAATGGATATGCCTGCGGCATCGCAAATTATTTTGAGCCATGTCATTCGAAGTCTCTAAACATTGATTACGATAATAATCACACGGACCCCAACAAGGTGACCTGCAACATCCTAAATAACTAAGGTCAACAATCAATGACTTCATGGACGGATGTCAAGTTTGGTTGCCCCTAGCTTTCAATTCACTCCAACAGCAGATTTACAAATAAAATGTAATGACTGGGACAATTTCTTCGAATTATCAACTTACCGATCGCCGATAAAATATGTATTTTCACCCAAAATGTAAGCAAGTGATGTAATGCACAGTTTGGCCAGTGAATATAACTACAATTAGAAGACAAGAGAAATGTATCTTAACTTGAGACTCAAGTGATAAATACGAATCTATGTGATTAGCCTACGATCTACATTCATGACGAAAAATGTGAAAATTACTAAAAATAAACTGGATTTCATTCGAACCTACGACACAGTAATAGTAAATCGAAACAGTTAAACCAAATAACTGTTCAGTTAGTAACAGCGTAGAACATCGTACGCACGTACATCAGTTCCAGTTGCCACACCATATTAGCACAAACATGCAGTTGTCGATTCAAATCCCGTAATGGTAGAGGTGGTAAGAATATAAGCAGTAATCAGAAACATTAGGGTTTGAAGATGTTATTCAATGAGTATAATCCAGTGAAATAAATTTGGAAAGAGAAAAAAAGAATGGGAGATGAACAATTCAGAATATTAGAATTTGGGAGCACACAAAGAGTGGATGCACTTGCGCCACTGCAAAGGATTTTGAGCCATGTCATTTAGGGTCTCTAACCATCTGTTGGATTGAGTCGATAGTTGTCCATATCTTTAAAAAGGGTTCATGTCGTTCCTGTAACAACTATCGAGGGATAAGTCTACTTCCGATTGCGTCCAAGCTATTGGCTTCCATCATTCTTCGTAGGTTGTTCAAAACCCGAGAAAGATTGACTCGTGAGGAGCAGGCTGGTTTTCATCCTGGTAGAGGATGTATTGGTCATATCTTCACCCTCCGCCAAATGTTAGAACGCCGACATACTTATCACAGGCCAACAATCGTAGTGTTTCTTGACATCAGGGCTGCCTTCGATTCGTTGGACAGGGCTGTTCTCTGGGATTGTCTATTGAAGAAGGGTGTGCCCGAGAAGTTTATTAACATCCTAAAAGCCCTATATAAAAACACCTCAGACAGAGTGAGGGCATACAACCACCTCTCTCCATTGTTCCATTCAAGCATTGGGGTTAGACAGGGTTACCCAAACTCACCATTCCTCTCCAACTTTGCCATCGATGACATTCTGGAAACAGCTCTGATGTATGTAAGTAATGGTGGTGTGGATCTGTTGCCTGGAGAAAGACTTCTCGACACTGAGAATGTGGATGATATTGTCTTACTGTGAGATAATGCCCAAGCCATGTAATCCGCACTTAATCAGTTGTCAATCAGTGTCCGTAGGTATGGTATGTGCTTTGCACCTTCAAAGTGCAAAGTACTTCTACAAGACTGGCAGGATTCCAATCCTGTACTCACTCTGGATGGTGAGCAGATAGACGTAGTCGAGGAGTTCGTGTATCTGGGTAGCTGCATAAGTGCTGGTGGTGGCGTGAGTAATGAGATCAATGCACGTATATTGAAAGCCAGAGCGGCTTATGCCAATCTGGGCCACCTTTGGCGCCTTCGTGATGTTAGTCTGGCTGTAAAAGGTCGGATCTACAGCGCGTCGATGAGAACAGTTTTGCTTTATGCTTGTAAAACCTGGCCTCTCCGAATTGAGGACGTTAGACGACTCTCTGTGTTCGATCATCGTTATCTCCGAAGGATTGCTAACATGCAGTGGCAAAATCATGTTAGTAATGCAGAGGTTCGGCATCGTGTGTTCGGACACAGAGACGATAATCCAATTAGTGTCACCATGTTGAAACACCGACTTCGTTGGCCTGGACATGTTCTACGAATGTCATCCCAGAGAATTCCACATCGTGCATTATTTGCCGACTCTGTGACTGGTCGGAAAAAGCGGAGAGGTGGTCAGTGTGTGACATGGTGTCATGGTATGAACGAAAGCTGCAAAGGACTGGCATCTGTCGGTCCTTCACGACTCCCTGGTTGGGGTCTGAGAGAGGGTGCTACACAGTGGCTAGAGACGTTATCAGATATGGCTCAGAATAGAAGCCTGTGGCGATCCTGCTGTAACCTTCTTTTGCTTTCTTCGTAAAAAGCGGTTGTATCTTCCTTAACTGAAAGATTTCTTCTGATTGTACTTCTTCGTCTCCTTCATTATTATCACAACACTACCTTACATTGTTCGTTATTGTTATTTTACGCCCCTTACCTTTTTTTCTTTCTTTCTCTTTAAATTCTCATTGTTTTGTGTGGCGCATATATATTTGGTGCCCTCTTGTACCAATATTTATGTGTTCAAATAAATAAATAAAATAATAATACCATCGGTTGCTATTATTAAGCGGGTCCCAACCAGGTAGTTTAAACCTACCAACATGGCTCAGTCCACTCGTCAGTGACTTCATGGACTTGTGCCATGTTTTGTTCTGGCCGCCACTACCTTTCTTCCAATCTACTCCTACATCATTGAACATCGCACGTCGAGGCAGTCGGTGGTTGGCCATACGTAACACGTGTCCCAGCCATCTCAACTGATCAAGTTTCATTACTTCATCAATCGATTTGCCATCCTTATCTAGCACCCGTTTCCTAACAACTGTGTTACTTACTCGGTGTTCCCAGGATATACGAGCAATGTTTCGAAGACACCTATGATCAAATACTAGTAACCTACGAATATCCTCTACTCTTACCGGTCACGTTTCACTGCCATGAAGTAGGACGGAACGAACTGCTGCGCAGTAAACACGTCCTTTGGTTGATAAATGGATATATCGCCTACGCCATAAATGACGCAAGTTGGCAAAAGCTAGTCGAGCCTTCTGTATCCGTGCTGAGATTTCGTCACACATCAGATCACAAGGGCTGGTGAGACTTCCCAGATAAGCGAACTGGTCGACACGTTCAACGACTTCACTCCCTAGCATTAGTTAGGGTGTCGATGAAACCCAATCCTGAAGCAACATTTTGCATTTCGAGGGAGAGAATCGCATCCCGAACATGCTTGCATTGTTGCTTAGAGTGGTCAGAAGACTCTGCATTTTGTCAGCGTCTTCACCACATAGAACTATGTCATCGGCATATTCCAAGTCAGCAAGTGAATCTCCCGGTAGAAGTTCAACCCCTGGAAATTTAGATGAGGAAGGTGTCGTTTCCGAAAGCACGTCAACGGCAAAGTTAAACAAGAATGGAGAGAATGGACAGCCCTGACGAACACCACTTGAGGTAATCAATTCTGATGACAGTACGCCATAAGTTCTCACTCGACCAGTTGTGTTCGAGTAGAGAGCCTTTACAAAGTCAATGTACTTCTTTGTTACTCCTTTCAGTGACAAACACTACCATAGAACCTCACAATCAACAGAGTCGAATGCTGCATTAAGGTCGAGAAACATTACGATTATGGGGCGTCTGAATGTGTGTCTGTGTTCTGCAACCCGACATAGTGTGAACATCTGGTCTATACAACCACGTCCTGGTCGGAAACCAGCCTGATTTTCTCTAGTCTGCTCTTCACGAGCTTTGATTAGGCGTCGAAGTATTATTGAAGCTAATATTTTAGACACTATATTAGTCAAACTAATTCCTCTGTGATTGTCACAAGAGGACTTTTGTCCTTTCTTATAGACTGGCACAATCAGTGATTGAGACCAGTCAGATGGGATTACGTCCAGTTCCCAAATTCTACCTAAGACCTCGGTTAATCTCATTGCTAATACTGGACCATTATCCTTAAAAATCTCAGGAGTAAACCTGTCAGGGCCTGCTGCTCTCCCTCGTTTCAGATTTCCTATGGCTTTTTCAACTTCGTAAAGGGACGGAGGACCTACATTAACTTGCCATTCAGGTTGACTAGAGATCGTGGGAAACCGAAGTGTGGCTGAAGGCCAGTTGAACTGATCCCTAAAGTGTTCTGCCCATCGATCCAATCTCCTGGATTGAGAATGAATAATATGTCCATCTTTTTCTGAGATTGTTTCGCTAACGGTCGGGTTCCTAGTTCCGGTTTCCTTAACGAGTCTGAACAATTGTCTGCTATTACCTATTGCCGCTGCCTTTTCCATCTCTCTTGCTTTTGCTACCCACCACTGTTCGCGATCATTGCGTAGGCTTCTGGTCAGCTTGCGCTTAAGCTGACTCCGCTCTTCATTATGTTCAGAGCCAGGTGGAATGAGTTTCCGAGCATCTATCAGTGAGATAGATGCTGCTGAGATCCAGTGTTGCTCCCTAACCTTCTGGTTACCTTACTAGCAGATATCACTGCTGTTTCCACAGCTTTTCGGATATCATTCCATGCTGCATCGGGGTGGGCATCACATACATGGCTGCCTAACTGTTTTCCTAGTTGTTCCTGAAATATACTCTTAGCTTGACTATCATTAAGTAGGCCCCTAAGAGGTTTTCTTGCAGCGTCTTTCCTACGTCCAGTAAGACGCAAGCAAATACGCGCTCGCACTAGAGCATGGTCTGAATCTAGGCATGTGCTCCAGAATGAGCGACAGTCTTCTATCGAGCCCCTCCATCGGTGGCTGATAGCGATGTGATCTATTTGGGTCCAACGTTGGGACGAATTAGGGGGTCGCCATGTTAAAAGATGTTTTTCCTTATGCTTAAAGTTAGTATTTGCAGCGAACAGGCAGTTATCTGAGCATAGCTGCAACAGACGGTCGCCATTATCTGTTCTTTGAGCCACAACACTATAAGATCCACCCAGGTGTCTTTACCTTTCGCTTAGTTTACCTACTTGAGCATTAAAGTCACCAGCCACTATTATTACATCAGAGCGCCTAGCTTTTTGGAGGTCGGAAAGCTTTCTGTAAAACTCATCTTTTACATCATCTGAGCTGCAGTCAGTGGGAGAATAGGCAGAGACGACGTAGAGGCATCGACAAGTGTCCCTATCTTCCCGAGTCCTAACTGTTCCGTTTAGTCGGACAGCGCACAAACGACTGTATCCTGAAATCCAGTCCAAGAGAGCTAGTTCTGCCCTAGGAATCAATGCTATACCTACGCCGGCAAGGCCACGAGAAGCTATAAACATACTGTTGTAATGTACACCAACGTTAATGACTTTGATATCACATATATCTGCATAGATCTAGTAACAGATTTATCACAAGCCGAATTTCACTTTCTCACATTATATCGTTAAGTATATATGAATCACAAATATGTTAAAAATGGTTCCGTAATATTCGTTTGGACACGATAAAATCAACTTAGAAAAACGACTGCAAGATAATGTGACCAATCAATCAGTATATGCCGTTTCCATATGATGTTACTAACAAAATGTCACAGAGGAGTGGTGACAGCGAATACAATCTACTATTGAAATTTACTAGAAAAGTGAAGATCACATTGTTGTTTAAAAACCTCTTACTGAGTGAATGACAATATTTACATAAACAACTTATTATAAATAATGAACCTAATTTGCCAATAACTCAAAATATGAAAATTGAAAAGTTAAACCAACGTCAAAAGAAGAACTTACATACTCGCCTATTTCTGAATCGGACATATTCTTAAGACAAATAACTAACTGAGAAGACTTTGCCTTATTTAACTTTTTGTTACGCCAGATATAAGGAATATATAACTGTTTAATAAGTCCAATTGATCCAAAATACATTTTTCTAGTGAAATTAGTATAAACAAAATCGTCACCCCATAGGAACCAATTAATAGCAGGAGCTAAACGACGTTCTATAGTTGAAATTAAAGCACACAACTGAACACCCTCAATGTCAGATAAGTCATATTCTAAGCCATAATTCTGTTAACGAAACAAATTGACACAAAAATTTGCATTCATTTTTATTGATTAAATCAAATGTAAGAATTATTATATTTTATCGTTGTTAGTTTTAAACAATAACAACCTACACGACCCCACACTGATAATTACCGTGTGCTCAGTAGTGACTGGCTTCGTGAGGTAATTCACGGAGTTCTGGTGAGAAGTTGTGATCAGTGGAGCTAACCCGCGTCAGGCATTTACCTCAACAATGGAAAACGGCCAAGCAATATCGTGGATTGTTTAAAATTGAACATCAACACCGTCGGACGCCGACCGGTCCAGTGGTCTAGAGATTAGGCGTTCGCGCGCGAAACTGAAGGCCCTGGGTTTGAATCACGCTTTCGGTTTTGTGGATGCGCACCGCTGAGGAGTCCCTTACCACGACGAAACGGCCGTCCAGTGCTTCCAGGTTTTCAACGGGAGTCTGACATTTATCGATTCATGATCTTAATCAAAAACTTAACAATCTTCACAACTTCACACTGATAATAACTGTGAATATTTTAATATTGAAACATTTTGAGCAGAATTTATCAACTGTCGGTAGTAAATTTACAGGTTTAATCTCGTTTTATAAATTATTTATTGGATAGTAAAAAAATGATTATAAGTAACACTGAAAAATCTGTTTACATTTAACAATACTTGCTTGGAATTAGGTATTAACTGTCGGTAGTAGTATCGACTGAGCCTTATACATAAACGTATAGTATAAAGTCGAAGACATAAAAATGTATTAGGTAAGAGGATAAATAACAAAACAAATAAGCAATAAAAAATTGATCAAGAGAAATTGATCGCCTCGATCGAATACTCATAGTTTTCGGTTTAGTTTAACCAATAGTTAAAGAAGTTGAGTGACCCGGATCAACATTAATAATAGTGTATTGCAGATTCATTCATTTTTCAAGTTCCTTTCTACCCTGAGTTTTAAATACGTCTTATATTTCTTTTTGTTAACGAGATATAGATTTGATACAAGCTTGTTCCGTGTACGATTGTGTTGAAGCACGCGGATTGGCCATTTCGTAGACAACAAACGCTGTCGGATACTTAGAGAACACTAACATTTTTCTTATTGATTCCTGCTCCTATTCAGCACTTTATTTAGAATAAGAAGTATAGTCTTATTCAACCATGTTCTGACTTGGCGAAATGTCGAGTGAAGTTTCTGAAGAATACTAAGCAATAACAGTGGCTGAGTCCTCGTAGTTTATAACACATATCTGTACTTATTTCCTCAAATAACTCTATGTACATCCAAACTTTTTTATCACTGCTAATGCTTTTGGACTTCTTTTATCCTGGGATTTGTCTTGACGGTTTTATCTAGCTTTCTTCATGCAGCGTGTCAGTTTGGATCAATCCCTATTTGTGCCAGGTTTTAGGCTGTGTACGAATGGATGACTCAAGTTGCTAAACCACATCACTATAGGAAGATGTAACTAACTATATGAATATTAGGATAGTGATGTTGTCAGTAGTAATAAGAGAAGCTAGATACAAAGAATATGATTTGAGACTAGGAAATATATTCGCGGAATAGTGTACAAAATAGCTGTGAAAATCAAGATCAACAGGGAGACAAAGTAAATGCATCAATGACATCAAAGTTGATTTCGTTATGTTATTTAAATTTATTAACTACTGATCATAATTACTGTCCAAACCCTGAGCAGGTAGTTTGGACTTATATATACAGTTCAAACTCAAACCATCTTACCTAGTATATCAGGGAACTGGACGGCTAGTTTCATGAAACTTTCAATAAAATCTCATCAGTTTATATCGGCATTTTATCCCTTTCATTACTGCTGATCACCAGTAATACTAGACTGTGTACTACACAATATTTCACTCTTTGAAAAACGGGTGAACAAGATAAAAAGTTGAATAAATTGTCAAAAGCAGTAGGCATATTTTATTGCAGATCGCCTGACTTTTTCGCGACCGTCAACTTACTGACAATATAAAATTGTTAATATGGAGACATTACAGACACTTAAAACTGATATTAACTGAGTCTAAAATACGCAATATAGTGAAGCAGGTTATACTGATTCTGTACTTATAACTTAGTGTAACGGACAAATCTATAGTTGACTGAGTGGAAAAAAGTTATTCACATGAATAAACCCATGATAGAAATACACAAAAGAGTAATGCAAAACGTTTCGACATACGATTTAGGTGGTCAACTTCAAGGCTACTTCATGGTGAGCTTGAATTGTGATTTTCACTAGCCAGTCATTGATAAGACGTATGGAATCCAATGGTATGTCCTTACAAATATGTTGGGTCAACTAGTCTTTGCTCCATGTATCATATTCTAATATGAAATCATTTATTTTTAAATATTACTATCATTTGAGTAACCGCTTCTATAAAACTAATGTCCACCTCGTCCTATTGAGGTATCGCAACTTTAACCGATTCATAAATTTGCCTGGTACTATGTTGCAGATGACTGACAATTTCGACAATATGGTAACTCTACACTACCAAATAAGCTTCAACAATAGTTGATGATCTACATAACACTTCAGACCTCAATAAACAGTAACAATCCTTGCATACATTTGTTTTTAGTTTGATTTGAAACTTCGGAGTGAACAAACAAATGAACAGTATCAGGCTACCGAGCTAATACGACTTTCGATAAGTATCAATCTAGACTACATAAGGAAAGCGAGAACATTCAGAGTAAAAAGACAAGAAACCCACTTCTTTCCTCAAATACGTTAGGACAATTGGGATTCTGTGGTAATCCTTATTATCATGACTGAGAACTGGGAAGCTCTCAACAGTAAACTGATCAGGTACCTTCATCTTTATGTTCATACGTGCCCCTTTCAACCTGATGTAGCACTGCAGCTATTATTAAATGACTTCAGAAGACTCACAAATATTAGCAAACACTCAGGATCACAAGGCAGGCATTCATCTGGAGCAGACAAAATCGTCAAATCCATCACGCGGGCTATTTCGAATCTACCTGACGAAGTGACCTTGTGTTTCAAAGACCAAGAAGATAAAACCTGTTTTGTTCCTAGAAATCGAAATACTTGGAAGCAGGAGTGATCGTACAACAAGTCACAGGCGTTAAACTGAGACGGCTCGTGTACACAAAGGAAAACGTATTACAAAATAGTTTCATTCATCGTTCTGCAGGTTCAGCTTACGTAGAGCAGTATAAAGTTAAATCTTCAGTCTTCAGTAATAAGGATAGTAGGTTGATGAACCTGCATTAATCCTGACACACTGCTTTCCAGTGAAGGTCCAGCCTCTCCTTGAAAGTATTCACTGATTGGGCTGATACCACTTGTTCGGGTAAGGCGTTCCAATGATTGACTACTCGGTGAGAAAAACGAAACCCCACTTTAAGTTTATTAGATCTTCGTTTATGAACCTTCTTGCTATGACCGCGGAGATTATTAGTGCTGTAGGGAGCAAAAAGATAAGACATATTAACACCCAAATCATAATTAAAGATACGAAATGCCAGTATAAGGTCACCTCGTGTCCTACGATACGACAAGGGGAAAAGATTTAGGCGTTTTAAACGCTCATCGTAAGAGAGTCTAGAAAGACCCTTCACTAATTTTGTTCCCACACGCTGGACGCGCTCAAGGGAGTTAGTATCCTTCACCAGACATGTACTAGCTGCTTGGATGCAGTACTCTAAGTGTGGTCTTACGTAGGTGGGATATAAAATTCGAAACGTTTCCTCGTCAAAATATTTGAACGCACGGCGAAGTGACCATAACGCACGAAAACCTTTGACAGCGGCTGCTTTGCAATGTGTAGATGTTATTAAATCATGACTTAATACTATTCCTAAGTCTTTATACTCTTGAACGCATGGAAGAGATTTACCCTCAATAGTGTAACTGTAACTATTACCGTGATCGATGTGCATTAACACACTCTTCCTAGCATTGATTTCTAAGCCTCACTCTCGAGCCCATTCAACCAAATCGTCTAAGTCAGCTTGAAGATCCAGATGATCAGCTTCACTTTTTATTGTTCTCCAGATTTTTACATCATCCGCAAACAATAATGTCGACGACCTAAGTAACAGCGGTAACTCATTAACGTAGAGAAGGAAGAGCGGAGTACCTAAGGTGGTGCCTTGAGGTACACCACATTTAACCGGCTTCCAATCAGATAGCGTTCCGCTGACCCTAACTCTCGGTCTGAGGTCACGTAAGAAGTTTCTTATTCACTTATGTACAGTACCTATTATTCCGAAGCTCATGAGCTTCTGCTTAAGACCTACGTGTGAAACCTTGTCAGATGCTTTGCTAAAATCTATGAATATCACATTGACAGACAGACCGTTATCTAGGGCTGCTGTCCAATCCTCCCTGGCAATAAGCAAGTTAGTCAAGCATGAACGTTTGTTACAAAATCCGTGTTGCTCAGGAGCTAACAGATTGTGTAAATCTATGTGGCTTAGCAACCTAACCCGAATTAACTTTTCAAGTAACTTAACGACTATACTAGTTAGACTAACAGGCCGGTAGTTAGATACTATATGTCTCTGACCGTCCTTGAATATAGGACTGACTATAGCGTCCTTCCAATCTCTAGGGAGTTGAGCGAGTGAAAGGGACATGTTGAAGAGTTTCACGAGCGGTTTGGAAATAATGTCTGCAAGAGATGACAGCAACCGTGGATGTAACCCGTCAGGGCCCGGTGTCTTACCAGGTTTGAGGTTAATCATCAACGGAAGGACAGTTTCCTCAGTCACCTGTACAGCTTCTACGGTTGGTATCTCGGTGTGAGTGGGACAAGTATTTGTTACAGTAAACGTGGAGAAGACTCAGCTTAAATAGTTTGAAAAAGTCTCAGCTTTTGCTCGATCTGATTCAGCTAGTAATTTTGAATTTTCGTGTAACAGTAACGATGAATACCATCACTACGTTTCATTTGCCGTTTAACATACGAAAACAATCGTTTTGGACAAGTACGGCTATCATATACTAACTGTCATTTGTAAGTAGTACGGGATTTGGCAATGGTTTTCTTACAAATATTACGGAATTTTCGGTACTCACGCTTAAATGGTGCATGGCCTGTCAACAAAAATAAGTCCCAGAAATGTTTCCTACGCTTTAACAGCTTCCGGGTTTCCTTATTAATCCATTGAGGGCAGTGTGATAGCTTACGTGCTGACCATGGGATAAACGGCGACGTTACGGACTCGAATGTAGCCTTAAACGTATTCCATTCATCTTCGATCAATCCATCTGCGTCGACCGACCAATCAGTCGAGATAGCACAGTTTCTGATTGCCGGAATATTGGCTCGCCAGATATTGGGACGGGATGGAGCAGATACGAATTGTATACCATGTGTCCTAAACTTAAAGTGAATTACAGCGTGATCACTGTTCACTAGTGGGGGAAGGTGCTGAATATCAAAGACATCCTCACAGTGGTGGGTGAGGGCGAGGTCCAGCAGTGACGGATCATGTTGCAAATCAATATGTGTCGGCTTTGTGATACATTGTACAAGTGCACACTGAATAACGGTAGATAAAAGGTCGCTATCAAAACCACTACCTGGAGCTGTAGGCTCTATCCAGTTGATATGCTGTGCGTTGAGGTCCCCAATGATGAGACAACATTCCGCCATACTCCAAAAACAGATGTGTCTTAGGATAAAGTCGTCAGCAAGACAAAACGGACTACGGTATATTACTTCTATAGTCACTAACCCATTTCTAGATTTAATCTTACAACATGCAACCTCACATGTGCCACTGATATGAGCCTCCGATATGGTTGATTGTATACGAAAGTGATCCCTAACGTATAATATTATACCTCCTCCTTTGCGACTTGAAACTCTATCACTTCTGATACAGATATAACCAGCAATGAACTGAGAACAGTCTATATCAACGGTGAACCAAGTTTCTGTAACAACGATTATATCGGGACATAATTCTTGCACCATCAGACTTAGCTCGGACTTTTCATTTCTAAGACTACGGGCGTTCGTGTAGCACACACTTAAGGTGTTTTGGAAATCAATCGTTCTACCCATACAGGCCTCGGAAGGATTGGCTTCCAAGACCTGACTACCCGAAAACCCTTAATGGTAAAGTTATTTTCGCCATTTAATTTGCGAGTCCTCAACTCCGTAAGAGCATTCTTTCACTTGATTCGATCCTCAAGCGGCCGATCTGGTCGAATACAGATATTTGAGTTTCTTAACAAACCATCCTGAATTGGGTGGACATATGGCCAACAATCCGAATGGCATATAAAAGGATAGAAATATAAATGTTGATATAGGAGCTTCTGCAAACATAAAGTTATTATTGTAGGTGTTTGGTCTTCAGAGTTAGAATATATACATGTGAAGTTTCCATTACCTTGTAGTAGTAAATAAATCCCTAAAATAAATAGCTCTGTAAATTTTCACATTGGATGCTGACCAGATTAGTTTTAGTGGACTCACCTAGCTGAAAGCGCTCGGTCATGCATCCGCACCAGATCACTTGTGGGTAAGTCATGCAATCGCTAGACAGACTAGAATAGTCAATCCTCGATATATTGATAACTCATGAAATATATCTTCAAACCTCCTCGCTTCTGTCTTTTGATTTCACTTGGTGAGTACGAATGATATTAGGTGTTACTGGTTAAAGCGTTGTCAGACACTCAATACCTGTGCCATTTTCAACCTCTACCAATTTCTGACCATCATTCAAAGTCCAGGGTAAATCTTCGGAGTTAGAGTGCATTTAACTTGGAGGACTAAGGTTTTAGGATTTAGTGTTGTTACACGTCACTACAAAGCAACTGACAACCGCTCAAATTTTGATTTAGATTGTTCCGACGTAACTCACATTGACAGGGTATCTGATCATTTCTGATCATCTTAAGGAGTGCACGTTTCACACTCTTTGTTGACCACAAACCCCTGAAGTGGCATTGTTTTTTACAACATGATCCTTGAATCTGGACATGAGGTAACTTGTAAAATTCTAGTTTAACACTAAACACGCAGAGAAGATCAGTAATGGTGAACAATTGATCAGTGTGGCGTGGCTCAATCCTGAGGGTGTCCTAATTCTCTATAACCTGTCGATTTTCCTGTTAAATCTACCATCCTATATCCAGCCGAACTGTGTTCTTTAGAAGCGCTAAACATCGTATTGCTGATTTGGCGGTAGGATGAGTTAGTATAGACAACGATGTTACTTATTTACGCCTCTTACTCCTAATGGAGCACTGGCCTCCGACCAGCATTCTCCTACCCACTCTGTCCTCGGCCTTCCTTTCTAGTTCGATCCAATTGTTGTTCATCTTTCTCATGTCTGTCTCCATTTCTTACTGGAATGTGTTCTTTTGTCTTCTCCTTTTCCTTTGCCCTCCAGGATTCCATGTGATAGCTGCCCTTTTGACACAGTTGGGTGCTACACTCAGTGTGTGTCTTATCTACTCTCAGTACTTCTTCCTGATTTCTTCCTTCATTGGAATCTGGTTTCTTAACTCCCACAGTAGGTTGTTGCTGATACTGTTTGGCCAACAGATCCGGAATATTTTGCTTAGACAGCTGTTAATAAACACTCGTATAACCTGGATGATCGCTTTCGTAGTTCTCCAGGTTTCCGCCCATACAGTAAAACTGTCTTGACATTTTTATTGAGAATTCTGACCATGATGTTAGTTGCTAGTTTTTCTGATTAACAGATGTCCTTCAGTTGTAAATATACTGCTATTCCTTTGCCGATTCGCGCCTTCACATCTGCATCAGATCAACCGTGTTCATCAATGATACCGCTCAGATATGTGAAGGTTTCTACATCTTCTAAGTCTTCCCCGTCAACTGTGATTGGATTGGGGCATGCCGTGTTGTATCGGAGAATCTCGTTTTTCCCTTTGTGTTTGTTAAGAACTACTGCTGCTACACTGCATGTGTTGTTGCGTGTGCGATAGAAGGGCCTGATCATCTGCGAAGTCTAGATAGTCCAGCTGCATTCTAGCTGCCCATTGCA